GCGAAAATGAACATATAGCCTAAAAGTTTGCAAAAGAATTTGGAATTGATCTAAACTTTTCAAAGGACACGTCTATAACGCCCATATGCCTATATGACAAAAACTTTTGTTTTGAAAATAGGAGAAATCAGCGCCGCCCATTCCATACCAGAGAGCACGTAAATTTTGTGCTTTTACTTCTTTTGCCTTTTTTTTTGGGTAAATGGTGATGGATGTAAAAAATTCGGTCCCGACCGAATTTAATTTTCTTGCTTGTTTATAGTAAAAAATTGTTTTAAAAAAAATTAATTAGTCCTTGACTCGATGGCAATAAAATCTTGTAGCTTGCACACCGATCATGCGCATAATTACGGTTCATTTCTTACGCAGTTAAGATATCTATTAATAGTATTGGACTCGGATCGAAGCTGTAAGATGATTTTCTTTTTCACGAAACTCTAAAAGAAATTATGTAGAATGCGGATTTGTATTCACGATTATTGCTAATAAGAAAGTTCGTAGAATTAACTCAAAGCATTTCTCGCAAGTATTTATAAGGGAGTGGTTCAGTGGCTAACTTAAATATTGATAGAAGTATATAGATTTAAATGAATTATAATTGAAAGGTGACCATGTATATATGGCATTATCTAAAGATTTTTATATAAAATTTTTGTTGTTTGAAGAAGAATTGAAAACTTAAACTTGACATTGATAATCTTGATTGATTTGCTTAAGCTTTGGCTAAAAAGAGCTTTAATCCGCTCCTACACGCACCGATAACATTAACAGGACTCAAAATTGAAACCTGTTACAATAATATTAATATGCAAATTTCCTAAAAATTTTCAATTCTTAAGCAATGTTGTGAAGACTGAATAATAATAGAAAATAATTAATCGATTTTCATATATTTCTTTTATGCTTGATGCATATTGAAGATCATTATTACATTTTCGTTTGTTTTGATTTCATATATATATATAACTCCTTACATGTATGTATGTCGATGCTCATTAATTTTAATTATATAAATCAATTAATGGCTATTTAATGTTGTTCTTTTTTGTTATAATTTATTTTTATTTTCATTTATTTAATTTTTTTTTTACTTCTTTCTATACGATTAATGTTGAAAATAATTTGTATGATTTAAGCAATAAAAGCCTTATTGTCTGCAAATGTGCGCATACTACTGGAGCATATTATACACATGCATGCACGAGCGGACTTGTTATATTATTTGCCTTGAAACATACGCATAATGTTCGTGCACTTATCATATATATACATATGTGTATATACATATGAATGTATCAATATGTGCATATATGAATATATATATAACTGATATATATGTATGCATGTATTTGTTTAATTACTTTATCACTTAGACAAGCTGGCTAGCTGGCTAGCTGGTAGTTTCAATATAGTGTTATATAAAGGTTAATATGTACGTTTGTGTACGTTTATTATTGAAGCACATTTATTCATTTAATGTATTATTCTTTCAAATTAATTGACATTTAAGAGAGAGTACATATGTATGTGTATTAATTTTAATTTATTTATAATATTGTTGTGTTATGCTCTACTGAAAATTTTGTAATTATTTACAAAAATGCAGCAATTATTCATATTGTTTTGTATTGTTTTTTTCATTTTTACTTTTTTTTTATTCGCTATTATTATATATTTTTTGGTTATATAAATAAATCATAAAAATTTAATTATAATTTTTGCTGTAATAAACACTTTTAAGCATGTGCATTTAAATAGCTTTTCTAGCATAAACTTTACGTAGGGTTAAAGGTCAATGGAGAGATAAATGTTGTAGATTGTAGATGAGCTAAACACATTTCTATCGATGGATGATAATAACATTTTGAAATTCATTGTAAAAAATAATTGATAACTAATAAGCTAAGGCGCTACATAGTTATTTAATAATATTTAGTTGTTTATGATTGTATAATGGCGGCCGGACTGAAATAATTTTTGAAGCAACCATTCATGAATTTTCATATTCGATTTGCTAACAAATTCCTGGTAAACAGATGATAAAAGCTTGGGAACACTTTCTGATGATGTGCTTGTCTGCGCAAATTGACCGTTGAACTTGACTTCTTCGTCGGCGAATATTTGTCTCAAAAGAAAATTATGATTTTTCATTTCGCATAATTTCAAAAACATTAACGACAGAAAGAAAGGTACGTATATAGTCATAGGTTAATCTAGAAACATCTGACATTGGTTAACAATTTGTAAAGTCCCCAAAGTTTCGTTATAGGCAGAATCTTAAGATTATTGTAAGTCTCTTCATCGGTCAACAATTCCTGGAGATGAGTAAGAATAAATATTTTATTTTGCAAGATTACACTTTGTCTTCATGAACATAGTCTCTTTCAGGAATAGTGCTTTCAATCCGAGTGCCTGCTTACCATTTCACATGCGCGTTCTTGTTCGTTGTTGCTGATGCCTGCTAGATAGGCTGTACCATGCGGGGCCGAAGGGCATTGCACTGGAGAAGTACGATGGTTTTTGGTGTATTACGCCCGATTTTCTGTAAAATTCAATCAACTTATGTTGATAGCCTTCTCTGCTGATGGCATTGTTTAATTGAAGCAGCTTATTGTACACTACAACCAATTAATCCGTTAAGGGGGACGAAGCGTATTGGCTTTAATTGTCGATGTCAACGATATGCGTACTCTGAACCCTGGTTAAAAAAGAAAAAGTCGAATTTCCCGTCTTTGTCTATTTTATGGTACAGAAGTCAACATTTCCCAAATTCCTAAAAACTTTATGGTTTATAACGAAAGAATGTACTCTGTTACGTAAAGATACAACATTCATATGGAGAAGTCGCAATTGGACAAATATTCAGAGACAAATTAACACAATCTCACAGAAAAACCGTAAACAATAGAGAAAAATGTTTGTACCTGATGCATTCGTTTACCGAATATCAGGAAGAAATGTGATTACCAAGAAAGAATATTTTGCATAATATATAGTGTTTTATCATATCACTCAAAATGTTTAAGGTTTGACACTTATATTGCAACATTGTTGACATACCCGTATGATTTATGGATCGTGCTATGCTTCGACTGATAGGTGTTGAAATTTTATAACATTCTGGCTTTTACTTTACAAGTTAGAGTTGTTTTAGTAAGACTACTTTTTTGATCGCATTGGAGGACTTTCGCCGGCTGCTGCTCATGGAATATAGTGAATACACTGTTTTCGGTTATCGTGGAGATGTCAATTATCTCACGCAACTTTAATTTTCGGTCTTCCAAAAAGATTTGGGCCACCAGAGAGTTAAACGTCATCGATGTCAATACGACTTTGTTTAAAATTAGCAAAGCACACGTAAATCTATCTTATCAACAGACAAGTGTTGCCCCATTTCGTTCTCAAGTTAGCGAAATTCAAATATTTCCTTTGCTGTGATAATTAACAACTCTACCTTGTAAACTAATGGTCAGAAGGTCATCAAATTTTGACATATTTTGCTTGAAGGCTGGTACTATCCAGTGTCGTCACATATATTTAAGGCAGCAGACTTATTGAGTGATGTATTAGTATTATGAACCCAGCATTAATTTCAATACAGATAAAAAGAATTAAAGCAATTATATAAAATGCAAAAATAGGTCCTGAATGCGACGTAAGTTATTGTATATAAACTATATTTGTCATCTGCATAAACGATCAATTTGATATAGAGCATTCTTTTGATTGTCTGTTTATGCATCCCGGAAGGTATAGGCTCCTAGAGTTCTTTTCTATATAATCGGCTACGTTGGATGTCAACACAATTTTAACGTGGGATTCTTATGGGCTCAAGTAATAGTGCGGCTGATAGATAGAAGAACTCCCCTTAGATATTGAACCCAAACTTTACCTACAATTAATTGGTTACGACTTTTCTTCTACTCAATGACTATTCGCTGGAAGACTGGTCTTCCATTCACACTGATCAAAGAACGCGTTTTTCGTTGCATCAGAAATATTAGTGTACTTTAATATACCCGCCATGACGAATTATAATAACTTGGTAAGTAATCACACACAGATATTTTCGGTTTGAAGCTTCGAATATCGAAAGGTTCGATTAAATGTCAATTTAATTTTTTCAATAGAATTTAAAATTCGCTTCGTTTGCTGTCAATTATTACTTCAAAATTTCATTTCACTTTTTGTTCTTCTTTTGAACGTCTTTCGTTTAATCAAGTGAAAATTGGATATGAATATAATTCTGTGTTACGCAAAAACACATTATCAATTTATTATAATTTTAATTTTACATTTTCAAATAGAAAATTTAATTGAAAATAAATATTAAAAATTGCAAAATACAATTAAACTAAAGGGCTTAAAGGCTGATTGAAATCAATAAATAAAAGCGAAACGAGTAAAAGTTATTTGAAATAAGGAAACAATTTATTAGAATAATGGTTTCTAAAGACAATCGATTTCATCTAATAGAGCCTTCGGTCATTTAAGTACACTTTGTAAAAACCGAGATCAAATTCTTAAACTAACATATAACACACAATAAATTTGATTGATTATCCGGTAGAAAAACATATTAAGCATGTTATGAAGGGAATGAGTTTGTCGTCTCTTCATTTATGTCCGCTAAGTTATAATGACAATTCGATTAAAGGCCCTATTTAAACCAAATATCAGACCTTTATGATCGCGGCGAAATTCTTCGTAGCTAACGGCTAGAAATTCGTGTTTCCTAATACAATAATAACACGTTTTTTCGCATTGTTTGATAAATTTCCTTTAAAGTCTATTAGAAATGTCGAGCTTCTTAAAGCTATTGAGAAAGATATCGTTCAGAAAATTGGGTTGTCTTACTTCCAAGGTGAAATGTTGGCAATTCAGATGAATGAGTGAATGACAGTGATCCGAATACTAGCACCTTGAGCATAGATTTGGTTATCTCTAGAAAGAATAATTTTGCCGGCGTTTTGATTGGAAAAATTGTGTCCTAATAGAGTAGATGCTGTTGTGTTTAGGAAGCGCCTCGGAACACACACCTGTACTTTGATCATTTTCGTGTTGATTGTACTGTTGATTCTTTTCGTACGAGAGAATGCTACCTGTTGATATCATCCGCTGTTGCTTGGCTTCAACGGAGACTATTTTATTTTTTTTATAAAAATCTGACCTTATCTTAATAAAATATTTACGTTATATACGACGTTCTTCTCAGCTAAAAGAGCGCCCATGTACGTCGAGTTCCCGCCATTATCATAAAGTTTCTAGACTGTAATTGCTCGCGTCATGTCAAGTCATGCAACGCTATATGTGGGTATTCGATAACAACCTATGAACGTCTCGATATATCAGCCGGTACTTTTCAATGTCTTGACAGTTCTTTATCACCTGTAAATCAATTTCGCCGTTTCCAGGTTAAAGAAAGAGAAATTCCTGAAAAAATAGTAAAAAAATATGTTGAAAAAGTAGTAAAAAAATAGCAAAAGAAATTCAATATAGAGGAAAACAGGTACAGAAATAAAAATTGACTTTTACTGAACTTTGTTTTTGTCTTAACTTTACCGCTTGAACTATTGCAAAGAACTGAATTCTTGTATTTCTTTTGATATCATGCGTTCAACTTTGTTACAATTTCGTGTATATAATGCTTTTGCTGCCATCCATAGAGTTAATTCAAGTTATTGCAAAATTAAGGACAAAATCTTGTTAAGCATTATAGATATTTGGTTTGTGCCGTAATCATTATGACTTTCGTTGATGACCTGCTTCCTGGAGGCTTTTCGTACATTGTTTCCCTTCATCTTCTAACGGTTATCCATTCGAGTTTCCCCTGGGTCTACCTGGTTTGTCTAATTGACCTCTTCTGTTAGCAATGAATTGCGCTGCACTGTCCAATTGTCCCCTCATGACAGAAAAAATTAATTCATTCAATTAGTTCAAAGATTAGTGTTAAGTTTCAATAATAAAGTTGAAAAAAGACTATTGTACACAAGTAAATCTGCCTGATATATGCAAGCAAAAATATTCCTAAATGGTGTGGACTCTATTAGGTGGAATCGACTATAATTGACAGATGCTCACTTTTTTACATTTATTAGTGAAGAAGGAAAGTATGTTAAATTTATCGTACTGTTTGCGCAAGCTACGAAACTACACTCGCAAGAGACTGCGGGATAATCAATCTAGCCAAAACCTACTGCCAATAGATCAAGGTTGAAAATGGGCCTGAAGTGGAAGACCCAAACGAGAATTCGAATATAATGTTATCTATATTTTATATAAGCCATGAGATTTGATTGAAGTAAAATTTAACATAAGCAACAATAATGATAAGTATGAACGATTCGTCGCAAGACGAATATATCGTTTTCGATTAATGTAACAAATAATCATCAAACACACTTATTTAAAGTGATATCTATATATCTGTAGATATATATATGGATATCTATAATATATGAATACATGTTTATATGTCTAGGTAAATATGGATGCAGATGATATTAAATAAATTTAGAAAATTTAAAAAAAGTTTATTTATTTATTAGGTTTTTTTTTAACAAATGATACGAAAAATTTGCAAAAAGTTAGTCAAACATATATTTATATATTTGTTCATATTTTAATTTATTTTTTTTAAATGTATTTTATATAGTGATTTTCTGACACACATATGAACATTTATGTTTTTATAGGTATATTCTATAATAAAGTACAAATAATTGATTTTTACAAGTATTTAAAACAAATATTTTTAAAATTTTAAGTTAATCGATTTTTTTATTTTCGATGTTGTTTCTTGCAATAATGGAAAAAAAAATCGGAAATCATATAGTTTGCATAAGTCAATTCAAACGTTATATTTGCAGTTTTGAAAACAGTCTGAATAATTCACTTTTTTTAAAGATTTTTAACATCGAATTGATGTTCAATAAAATCATGTTTGTGAAAACTTATCATGCTACTATTCACTTCGAATATATATTCGAATATAGTGAATAGTGTACTAATGTTAAATTTTGAAAGGTTCTTAAGGGAGAGAGAGAAATCTCAGTGATGCTACCAAAGTCCCATGTATTGGTTTTTATATCAAAACATATCTCAGTTTATTCAATCGTGGACAGTGTGCATCGTAGTTCGTGTGCCATTTGCGAGAAATGTTATTGCAATTGTTGAAGTCGAAGAACAATGCTACTGAAAATTTTCGATCGTTAATTAAAACATGTCCCGATTTTTATTATATTAAATTCGTTATAATGTGTCCAAAAAATAAAGCCAATTTATTTTGTTCGTTTTTTAAATTTATCTACTCTTTCAAATCAACTTCACCGCCTTTTATCTGCTTCGGAATACTCAAATCCTATTGCTGGAAGGAATTTACAACACCAAGATAGTTGAAGAAAGCTTTTAACATCGTCTTGATCTTTGAGCGATTTTGGCGCTGTTTTCGTTTTGGCTCAGGTTTTGCACGACATTCGACCGGTTGATCAGTTGTCCATCCGTGGTAATAATGTGTTTCATGACCGATTGATAGTCAGAAACCTTCTCCTCACGCACGTCGTAAAAATCGGAAAAAAATACTTTTTCTTTCGTGCAAAACCAAGTGCAGCTGAAACACTAATGCGAAATTTAGCGCAGATATCTCTCGTAGTGCTACTAACTGAGAAAAAAACTTTCTGATTCGATATTCCCACTTTATTTAATTTGAATATTGGTGTTAGTGTTTGGCCACAGTAAGATGTATATAGTGAACACACATTCCATACGTATATACATATATACATACACATCGTATAGTTTCTAAATGCAAATTATAATTCTCAGACTTATTAGCAGGTAATAGTTGATTTTTGCCCTACACTAACGCATCTCATTACATTGCATTGCTTTGTCGAAGCCTTCTCAGCAAAAACTCAACTCATTTTGTTCCGCCATCAGCTTGTTCATCTCGTTTAGCTTCGTTTGACTTATCATTACACAAAAAACCATTCAAACGTTCTGGCCACATGGAGAAGATCATTTCATATCGAATAATGAACTTATACAAGTAGAGTAAAGTTGAAAAAAATGTATCTGACTAACCAGTGGATACATTGACATAAAATTTGACCTATATGCTAGTTCGATACTGATAGTATAAGACAAAAAAGACATATCCGTTTGAATAAGCTCGTACTATTCTAATGAAGAAGAACTTATCCACCTTTTGACTCGGACCACAGAGTAATATTCAATAACTCGTCACAAACTGACAGAATTAAGTTGGAATATGTAAACTGTGCGGCAATTTTCATCGAAATATTTCAAAAAACATTGGTGTGCAGATTAAACATAAAAATGGTGAAGGCAAAGTGCTCGAAGAGGCTCGTCCCGAATATAGGTTCAACGGTTCTTACGCACTATGTCGTGCCAAACTTCTACATAATTTCACTGCGCTGCATTCACGAGTACTTCCCAGCTAATCTATGTAGGCTTAAAATCAAATTCGGTTGTTTATGTAGTATATGTAGTGATACTGCAGACAATGCGAAATATGTCGTGTTCATCTGTTCCTCCTACTGCAATGGCAAAGTCTCCTTTCTCTGACAATCGCGTGAGAAATATGTTGTTCGACCAGAAGAAATGGAAAGGGCTTGAGGTATCTAATACTAACGCATTATATACAGATAAAATGGTCACACACGGGACCCTCAACGGAAATAGCAAAATTGATGTCTTCATGCTCGAATGTTGTTTAATGGGGATAAGAGCGATTAACAAAAGCGGTTTTGATCGTAACAAAGTCTCCCACTGCTTCATATAGACTTAGTACATTCTTCCCACAAAAGGTGTAGGGTAAATAAATAATTAACAACAAAAAGTAAAATATTATCTATTGCCCTAAACCCCTAAAGGAGAATTTTAATTGATGATATCCTCAAGGAGTCGATTAGACAATTGTGTGTATAACAAAAATTGATAGGTAAAAATTATTTATGTCATTTCCATTTAGTTGAATGTATGGGAGTTAGCTAATTATTGGAATGGGCTAAAATTTGTAAGCATACTATCACTTTCAGTACACGTTCATCAATTGACAATCGATAAACAATTTAAGACAAATTTCATTAAAATTTTTTCCTCTTGCATTATAATCTCATGTTGAATCCACTTCATATATCCACTTCAAAAATAAAAGAGCTGGAGCTATGCATAACTAATTGGAAGGAATGTAGGCTCTTCATACATCATTCTCTGAATTGTTTTCTGTAAGGGTAATCGATTCATTTTAACTTCAACTGCAAATAAATAGAGATAAATAATAAAGAACGAAATATGAAGTCTAAGCAGAGAAAGTCTCATGTTTATTTGTACGAAATAAATGAACAAAGCGAATATATGAGTGTTATGATCTCCTGGAGGCTTAATATTTCTTTTAAATTTAGCTGATCCATTATCTTTTGTGCAGCTATATTTAATTAGATTCCTTTACTGCCACACCTATGCCATATGTTAGAAGTGCATATAATTTCTGTAATTTCAAATTGATTGGTTCATAAAATATACATGACGTGTTTTCATCTTCCGAAATAATTTTCATATGTTTTACTTTTCAGTTGTTTAAAAGCTGTTGTCTACTGTATATCAATATGTAAAGAGATGTATTGAAATAGATTGCAGGTAAAGTTACGGAAATTATTAAATTGGCTTGGAGTGAAAAAGCAGTAAACCATAAAACAGTTCGAAAGTGTTTTACGAGATTTCTTGCGAAAAATTTTTGTGTTCAAAACGATGGAAACTCGCACATGTCTGTTCATTCTACGCAAAAGCATCACAGAAAATGATCTTGAACATGGTCTACTTTTGATTACCGTCGATTCATATCAATGCAGTCATTTTTAGCAGGTCAACGATTCACAGACGTTGAAAATGTGCGAAAATGCGTTGATGACTATTTCATCGCTAAACTACGAAATCTCTACCGCGAGAGCATCCGCAAGCTATTCGATGAGAGGCAAAGGACCATAGGCAATGAAGGTAAACATTTTGATTATTAAAGTATAACTGGATTTCATCAAAAAACGCGAACTTTCCATTTTGTATAATGCTTTCTATTAATATAAAGCAAATATGTATACTTTCATAAAATATTTTTATTTAACTATTTAGGTATTTATTAAATATTTTTTCTGAAAATCGTACGGGATATTCCGAAATGTGCTAGTGGTATTGCCATGCATCTGGATGTTGATGAAAATATTGTCATTGATATTATTTTAGTCTCATGCAAGCAGCTTATAATAGAAATTCTGATGTAAAACTGTTTTTGATATTAATGTTTAAATCATTTTAATTAAGATGAACATGTTTATTGTACAAACATTTTGTCTTTGTTAAGTTTATGAATATATTTAGGTTATATATTTATGTGCATGTATATATATATATATATATATATATATATATACAGATATTATATACAAACGTATGTAGTTATTTAGACATACGCGTGTGCATGTGTGCGTGCGCGTGAAGGTACTACGGTGTGATTACTATTAAATGTGGGTTGTTTAGCTGCTTCGGACTTTACAATTTACAATTTTCACGCGCACCAGCACACACACGCTCATTCGCTTTGGCAGTCTCCCATCTTCAGTTTCCTAACGTAGGTGTATAATATATAGGAACAATCATTGCAGCAAGTGAGAATAAGGCAGAGTGAATTGAAGAAGAATAAAGCAACACATATACGATCAAAATAATAGTACCAGATTGTAATTGCTATTGACCCAAATTGTCAAGCATCCGTTAACAAATCTGTGTGCATATGTATATATATCGTGTGTATGTGTCTGTGTGTGTGTGTGTGTGTGTGTGTGTGTGTTTATTTGTTTGTTTGTTTATTTGTTCATATAGTTCTGTACATACTCTGCGTGTCCGCATTTAATTCTGTAAGGATGATATTTCATAGTAAGTTAAAAATGAGATAGATAGCGGGAAAGAGAGAGAGACAGATAATTATAGTGTTGTATTATCGTCATGTTGAAGAAGTGTTGAGTTTATTATAAACAGGGTATTTGGTTGCAAATGGACTTTTCACTTCGGTTAAGACTAGAACGACATATTCGTGATTGATCAGGTAATGTTTGTGTCAAATTTCAGGTTCTTATCTTTATTTTTGCCGTCAAATCGATGTGTTTCCGTAAAAGTAGGTATTTCACATTTAGAAATAGCAAAATGGGCGTGTTTCACAAAAAAGAGAGTGGCCTTATATATTTGCCGCATTAAATCCTTAAGAACCCATTTATAACATATGAAGATATCTATTCCATTATGCAGAACTTTTGGGCTTAAACGCACAAACCTTTTAAATTGACAGATGCGGTAAAGCTAATTTTAAGAATGTCGCCTAAGACTATGACAGGGTGGCGGTTAGAAAAAAGTGGATAAAGACAAAAAAAAAAAACGTGTGGCCATAACATAGTGGACGCGTGCCTAATCGATGAATGTTACGCCTTTACCGATTGAGCCCCCCCTATAGCTACGAGGAAGTACGCCCTATCGTTTTGAAACTTGGTAAACGCGATTCTTATCTATTGATACCAAACTACTATTTGCTAAAGCACGTAAGATCACTCCTCACGTCTTTTCCCACGCTCTAATATTTCATGATCGTTTTTGAACTCTCGGTGTGTGTAGATGAATTCATTCAAAGCGCCTTCATTGATCGTAATTTCTCAACCCGTGACATTCTTGTCATTCCTTTGATTGTTTTTTTTCTTCTTTTTCTTAAGAAAAATAACGAAAATTTAAAAGTTTAAGATTGTTCCATGTCGTTAAAGGGATCTTTTCCTCGAATTAGCGTTTGATCCAAAGTGTGCGCAGATATAAACTACGCTATGCGTATGATCTAACGCTCTTATCAGAGATTTTCGGGAATAACATTGTACTTACGCTTTGGCAGGCGATAAGGAATCAAATAATGATTTCTTTGCATTTCGCAAAGCTTTTGCCATCGATCAAATGGTCCATTTCTAGTAGTACCCGAACATTCCTTAAGTTTTTGGGTTTTCTCCCAAGTTCTACGTCGCCAAATAGTGCTTCCAATTTCCATTGAAACTTATTTACGAATAATCGGACGAACTTTCGAAAATTATATATTTCCCTGAATGGATGTGTTTTGCCTATATTCGGACCAGAACTGCATGTCCTCGCATTTCTTGCAATGGTTTATAGGTCACTATCGATGATCTGAAAAGAAACAAAAAAAGAAAAACATTTTCTCTCAAGAAATAACAGTCACTTTTGAATGTACTATTATGCACTAATAATTGCATCCGCCCTGTATATATGTATTCATTATATATATACATATATATATATACGTATATTATATATATATATATAATAATATACAATATATCCATTAAATCACATATACAGACGACTATACGCACTTATCGAAATCCATGTTAAGCCTATCTATGTGTTAACGTTTGCCAATATATATAAATAAGAAATTCATTTAAAATATATAATAGATATTTATACGTGAACAAATACGGCTAAAGTTACAATCAGGTGTAAATTTACTAATTTGATTATTTCGAAAGCGAATTTGTTAATTAGATTCATATAAATGCTGGCCCTTATGCAATTATTGCATTAAACATTAACAGAAACTGTTTTCAGTTATATGTTGGTTACATTACTTACTTTACTTCTTCCTCGAATCGCATTTACATTGTGCGATGGAACTTGAATAAAACAAGAAAATCATATTCAATTTGCGAACTTTCACAACTTACTCCCCTTACTGTCATATAGATATCAAGAGCATTCTTCGAAAAAATTTAATAACTGTGATTAGTTAAGAAGCATTTGCTATCGGCATATGTACCGTATCATAGATGGTTTTGTTGAAAGTCTGAACACAAAAGTATTATTATTAACAAATAAATATTTGCGCTTTTATGTATGTGGGACGACTAAAAAATGAATAGAAATGTCCAAGTTCGAAGAAAACTGTTAACTGACTGGACTCAGAACTTTTTATAAAGTGGCCCGCTGAAGCAAAGGGGCGGACAAATAGACACACAGGCGAAAGCCGGACACTACGAAATGTTCGGCAAAGCAAAATCAATCGCTTAAGAGATTTTCCCTATAGATATATACACACGAACAGTTTCAGGTGGGAAGTGAAGGGGAAAGAAGCATGGAGTGAGATTACAGTTTGAGAGATATGTAACCGTAGCAGTTACCGATCCGACAGTCGCTGTAGTTAAGACCACTTACCAATCTTAAAAGAAATTCTTGAGGCGTTACGGTCTATTTTTGTCAGTTAATTCAATATACGTGGACCGACAGTAACGACTATTGCAGTGTTTGCAATTAAAAAGCAAATGTTATGAGTTCACAACAATTAATTAATTGATTACGTAACGTTATAAATAACAATTATTAATAACGATTGTTAATAAAAATAAATTATTTAATTAACAATTAATTAAAACAAGTTGGCAAAGCCTTTCTCTTTTTTTTAATTTACTTTTAACATTGAAATGTTTGTAGAACATTGAATGTTCAAAAGAACTATTCTTACCTAGAAATCGCAACAGCGACAATTGTACGACTGTGCTGCGCAAATTATAGCAATAGCTTTGCCAACGCTATGATATGCATATCAGACTTCTCCTTAGTCAATAATGTCCTCTAAGGTCTTATGATATTTATCATTTGATCTCAACTGGATATCACCGTGTAAATGGTTTACTGGGAATGGGTTAACATATTAAGGAGTTTGAAACAAGTGAAAAAATTTGAGGAAACTTAAAGCATTATTTTGATTCTTTTATATTTATCACATCCCATGTATTCTGAATCTCATTGGGACTGATAAAATCTTACGTATATCACATAACAAAAACAAAGAAAACATTATAAGAATTTGAACAAAGCAACTAACATCTAAATATCTAAAAAAATTTATTTCTCACAAATAAAACGCCAAACGAAAGACGATAACAACAGAAACTAATTTCAAAGTATTTAATGAAAGCTAGACGTACATACATGCGTGCACACGAAGAAATGCAATAATGGTATAATTTTATCTTATGAGACAGACGCTCGATCAATTAAAATAACAGACGTCGCAGCCACATCATCTTACTTATGCAAACATACTTAAGTACATGATGTGATTTGCCGAGCGAACGAGCACACGTACGCGTACACAATAAGATAATAATACTAATTTAGATGTATTGAAAAATAATTAGATTTTTAGAAAAGTAAAGGAACGATAGCAACGGAAAAACATAAAGAGAAAGATGGTGAGAGAGGGAGAAAGAGAAAGAGGGAGAGAGAGAGAGAGAGAGAGAGAAGCAAACAATACTTGTGCGGCGAGTGATTGCTTCTGCAAACTTTGTCGTATCAAAGACAACTAAATGACAGGAAGTTTTAATATTTTCTTCAAAATTTAAACTAGGAGTAGATTATTACGTACTTTCTGTGTTTCTGTTATAAATAGCTGTGGTAACTCTGTTAAATAGCAACGTATATCTTTTCGTAATTTGTCTGGGCAAAAATTCAGCTAATATTTTATTAATATAAGAATTTTTATTCTGTTTAAATCGCTCCAATTATGGCCTAGTGAAAGAAAACAGAAAGACTTAAACCCATTTCACATTTGATACTGAGCGTGTAATGAACGCAGATACAGTCCATTTGCAACATTGCTAGGTGTGAGCAAACTGAATGATTTGAAATTTTAAACTTAGCGGGTTGGTGGTTGCCCAGGCATGTTGTAGAAGATGCTGAAATATATTCAAGAGCCAGTCTTATGAAATAAATAGGTAACGCGCCGTATAGAATAACTCTTACGCAATGTGGAAAAATGCAGAAATATCTGAAATACATAAATAAAATAAATCTATTAAATAAGGATAAATTATTCCGCCAATATATTTTTTTTTTTAACAATAAAAATTTTCTTCATTTTTTTCGTATAATATAAAATTTCTTCATATTTTTGGATATGAAAATGTTCATTGAAATTTGTAAAAGCATTTGTTGAACTTAAAATATAGAATTTTTCAATGTGAAATAAACAATGAAAGGAAACCAAATTATATTTTCTGTTTATGTATGATTTGATTTTTCGTACGTACACATTTATGTGTATACCATAGCGCATGTTCACTTAAAAGCGCAGAATTGTACATGCTTCAGCTGTACAAACTTTTGACAAAATGCGACTCCATATCAAGAAATTATTAACGGTATTTTCGCCCATAAAAATGATGAGAATGGAAAAGGAAGCAGCCAAATGCCTACTGTTAATTAACAGCATTACTACTGTTATTGACAACATAAACACAATATATCTGTTAAAATCCTCCTGCTTAAATTTTGAAAAAAATGTTGGAACATCTTGTAATTTAGTAGCCTCTGGTCTGGTCTTCTATAATAGAATACAATAAATTAGTGAGAGAGAGAGTATAAAACGCATGTTCAAATGGATATGTTTTTGTAAAGCAATTTATTCCGATATCAACTTACGAAGTAAGCATAAACAATGAAAGAAAGGTACTTACGTCTGTCGGTAAGTCAATCTGTCTTTCTATCTCCTGAAATTACAATTACTATTTTGCAATCTTGCCTAATAATATAATTTTCTCTCCTTACATTAGCTAGATATATCGTAGGAATCACAAAGACGATCTTTATGCTTATTCACAAATCGTTTATAATGTTAGAACAATGTAATTTTTCAAACAACTTTGCAGTCTGTTATTACGCGAGGATACTTATAACGCCTTTACCTCGGGCATATGGTACCAGTTTGTTTATGGCATTTCGTTATATGTTGAGTATATTCTCACGCTTGGCGTCAGTACGATATCAAGTTTGCTAGATGTCCCTTACGCATGTATTTTGAACTAAGAATGGAACCAAGATGATTTTTGCTTTGAGCCCATAGCCTGTGTTGCTCAATGTCTCTTTTTTTAGCCTAAGAATTTATTTCATTAGTCTAAAATTAAAATAATAATAATGATAATAATAATGATAATAATAAGATGTTTTTTATTTAACACTGCAACGATCGAGTACATCATTGTGATCCTTTTTAATTTTCGATCTTCAAAAATATGATCATAAGCAATTAATGATCTAAAATGCTCTAATGACTTCTATTTATATGAAAAGAGCTTTAAAGTAATTCGTTAACATTCACGTACACAATATATAAAAAGCTAAGATAACCGCGAAAAAACACCAGCAATTTTTACATAGCTTCATCTATAACCGTCTATACCCAGTAGATGTAATTGGGTGAAGAACGTACTAATATACGTTAGGATAAGGTAGGCTATCTTTATAACGGGTTCGCGTCCCTGCTAAGGCAATTGGTAATTGAAAAACTAGACTAAAATAAACAAGTAAAAAATTAAATTCGGTCGGGACCGAATCTCTTACACCCTTTACCATTTGCCCAAAAAAAAAGACAAAAGAAGTAAAAGCACAAAATGTTCTTGCTCTATAATATGAAGTAGACGTTGCTGTTATCTTCTATTTTCAAACAAAAGTTTTTGTCATATTGGCATATGGGCGTTATAAGCGTGCCCTTTGAAAAGCTTAGATCAATTCCAAATTTTTTTGCACGCTCGTACGCGGGGTCTTTATTTTCGCTAACGGGAAATGTTTACCACAAATACCACAAAGATGCGCAAACAGACAGATAGACAGACGAACAGGCGGACATATTTGGGTGCATTCAAGATTTGAGACTGGCCAAGAATTTGAATATCTCATGGAGTTTTTGAAACTTGTTTCTACGCGTTAGGTATTGAAAGGTATTGAAAATATAATTCAATTTTGATACACTATAAGATTCGGTAGGCGTGGTCGATTTTTTTCATTTTTGTACACTAATGCCGCAGCAACGCCCATAGAATATGTGTTCAAATTTTTGTACATTTATTTGGTATAGTTTATGAGTAATGAACCAATTTTTCATTCCTTTTGAAAAACAGAGGTGTTCTCAGTGGCGCTGTGGGTGTATCCTTTGACCTTTCGGTCCATTTTTAATACCTACCTGCTTCATCATTGTGGCCGGGAGAATATTTAAAACAGACATTACACAGACGGGCAGACAGACAGACGGACCTGCTTAAATCGATTTAGATTTTTGGCGCTGGTCGAGAATATATATACTTTGTGGGGTCTGTAATACTTCCTTATGGGCTGGATATAAAAATACCAGCATAAATAAAAAGAGAAACCATTCTTGACGTTATAAAAAATTAGAAAAAATTTCGTTGTTACTATGTAGCGTATGGTGTATAAATAAATTGGAGAAAAGTTACGGTATACGTAGAGCGTTATAAAAAATTTTAACGAATTTGTTCAAGTGAAGTTATTTAATATGTTTTAAAGGACGCTAAAAATTATTAGAAAATTCTAATTTCATTACTATGCCTAGGCCCAACAGCCACAAATGTGCGCTCCCCATATACATAACTATCCAAAATAAAACTGAATTACATGAAAATAAGTGGTGGCGCTGTTGGTAAAAGGATCACGTTCGTTCACTCGCAATAGCAACATGAATTCGAGACTGAGATTCGTATTTTTCTTTTTCAAGAACATAATTGACTTTTTAAAGAATATGAAGTTCTTTCACATAAATTCTAAACATTCTTTAAAATATCTGGGTGTTATGCACAACAATTAATTTAATGTCTTATGTACATGGAAACAGCATATGTGGGTCGATTTTGTCAGTGCTATAGTTCCTATAAGTTTCACCATTTTTCAAAATGTATTTAAAATCTATTATTATTATTATTATTATTTTTATTATTATTGTTATAATTTTAGACTAATGAAATAAATTCTTAGACTAAAAAAAAAGATATTGAGCACTAGCAACACAGGCTATCAGCTCTAATTTAAATAAACTGCTGCCAGTTTCCACATGTAGGGTATATGGCCAGTCAAAAATACCGTATTACATAGGTCCGGTAATTTCTCTTTACTTGAATTAAACAGCGCCCTGATCATTTGGTAGGAGATGCGGTCTAGACCAGGTGTCTTCCCCTTCGATTTGGAGAGACAACTTTCAAGTTCTAAGGTAGATATGCAATTTTCCAAGAAGGTGGCACATCTGTCAATACAATTTGAAAGAGAAATTGGAGTCCTTTCATTTTCGATGAAAGCACTGGAAAAGTTACTGTCAGAGGAGTATTCGCACCACATTTGTCCAAAGTAATTAGAAATATCATGTGCGTCCGTCAAAGTTCCATTGGGAGTGCAGATGACAGAAATTTCGTTCAGGTTTGAAGTGCCATTGAGTCTGTTTATTTTGCTCCAGACAACTTTCATTGAGGTATTTCTGTTAATTCTTTTCGAAAAAAGTTCGCAACTAAGTTCCTTTGATTTTTGTAATTTCTTTCTGAATGTCTCTGAAACTTGTTACAACTTGATCTGGACATTGTAGCGTAATTTTGCATTAGATTTAGTAACAATCAACTAAATCTTTTCACTTTTGTGATCGCATTTAAAGGCATAGTTTTTTTTTATGTGTGCTTGTTTCCTAATATTTTTTAATTTTAATACCTATTTTATTTCTTTTTTTCTA